CTTCTGCCAGCCTCTTCCTGTCTGGCTCCTCTCACCCTCTTCCACAGCATTTTCTGCTCCTTGCATTCACCCACTCCCCAGTTAATACCCAAGTGACACCACAGCAGCTGCTGCTTTGGCTCAACCTGCTGCCACAGATCTTTTCATAGAGTCATAGACTGGTTTGGGTTGGAAGAGGCCTTAAAGATCATCCAGTTCCAACCCCCCTGCATGGGCAGGGACACCTCCCACCAGCCCAGGTTGTTCCAAGCCCCATCCAACCTGCTCTTCAACACTTCCAGGGATGTATGAGCTTCTGCACTGCCCTGTTTACAGGACTGTTTCTATGCTAAACGTATTTTTTAAGGTCTATAATCACAATTAAAAGTGATATTTTTCTTAGAGCACCATACAAGCCATGCAAAAACAAAGATCTTTTCATGCCACTTAACCCTGAACCTGATAGTTCAGACACAGCTTCTCTGGGCAACCTGTTTTCTGCCAGGGAGAGCTATGGCAGAGGCTGGCATTTCATTTGCCTCTTCCCATTCAACAACAACTCTTCCCATTTCCACACAAAGCCATGTCAGAATATCACCAGCTCTTCAAGAGATCTACAGTGCAAGCCGGGGCACAGTTAGAAATCCATTGGGATTTGGAATGAGCTACTGGAAAGGTAGGGATCAGGTTTGGAGCAGGTATAGCTCTGTCAGTCACCATGACATGGGCTGTACAGGTAATTTCTCTTGGTAAATTCATGGTCTCCAACAGCACCAGCAGAAGTGGCTCAGTCCCAGCACTGGGTGGAGCTGAGAGACATTTCTGCAGAAGCAAATTAGCATGTGAGCAAAGGATGAATAAACAGACACCTAATGAATGCCACCCCAGGAAGGAGGTTCTTTTAAGTACAGGTATTTGCAAAAGGAGATCACATTTGTCTTTATACCTCCCTTTGTGGCTTAGCTGCTGAAATGCCAAGTGATGAGAATGCAGGAAGAGGGTAATTGCCCAAACAGGGTGGCTCAGTGTCTATTTCTGCCTCTGAATGCCTGTCCCACCCTGTACAGGTGCACAAGCACCTTCCCAGCCAACACTGCCCAGCTTTTTCCTTGCGTGGCTGGAAAGACAAAAATGTGCAGCATAAAATAAACAAACCCCAAAATCTTACACTTCCCACACAAACAGAGAGCAGAGAAGGAAATCATCCACCCCAGCCTCTGTGGCTCTGTAGCTTCACTCATCTTTCAGGGACCATAGCCAGGGAGCTGCCACTCAGCCCACACTTTCCCCTCTCAAGAGCTGTTTGTGCACCCAGTGGAAAAGAAAACCCCCAGACAGTGGAAGCAAAAGAGATGAGGGGAGAGGGAGAAACTGTAGACTCTGTGTATTTAACTGCCACAAAAAGCTCCTGCCTGCTGGATCTGGATTTCATTGCTCTTATTTTTGTCTTCCTTCCCTCCAAACAAAAATTTACCAACCTGACTCTACAACTGTTCCCTGAATTGGCTCTGGCCCATCAGCTTTCCACCCCTTGATTCCAAAGCCACTGCTGCCTCTCACACTTTGCTTATGTGGGCTGATCAACCCTTTGTGCCTCAGAAAGGGTTTTCTCCTGCCAGCAGGAGCACAACTAAGAGGGAAGAGAGGCACACACAGAGGATGCCTTTCCTCAGACACTGGAAGGCTGAGAGGATCACAGGCACCTCCAAGAAAGGATCCCTTCTCTCCACTTTGAGCACACAGGGTTTCTTTTTTTCCTACCAGGAATAATGCTAGAAAGCTTCAGGTTCAGGGAAAAACAGCTTGTTTTCTGTATGCAGGGTTGCTCAAC